AAGGACCTTAAGATCATCAAGTCCAACCTGCGGCCCCGCACCAGCCTAACACCAAACCAACCATCTCCTGACGTGCCACATCCAGCTGTTTTTAAACACGTCCAGGGACGGTGACTCCACCACCTCCCTCAGCAACCCATTCCAATGCTTCACCAGCCTTTCGGTGAAGGAGTTGTCCCTAATATCCAGCCTGAACTTCCCCAGCGCAACTTGAACCTGCTCGCTCTTGTCCTGTCTGTTTAGACTAGGTATGAGGAAGAAGTTCTTCACCCTGAGGGTGGGGAGGCACTGGCACAGGTTGCCCAGGGAGGCTGTGGATGCTCCATCCCTGGCAGTGTTCAAGGCCAGGCTGGGTGGAGCATTGAGCAGCCTGATCTAGTGGGAGATGTCCCTGCCATGGCAGGGGAGTTGGAACTAGATGAGCTTTGAGGTCCCCTGCAAGCTAAATCATTCTGTGGTTCTCTGTGTGGTGGGTGAGAGAGAATGGTTTTTTCCATTGCTGTCTTGCCAGGTTTTGATACTGAAAATTATCTGAAGAATTGTAAGGACCTCTTCTCTCTGTCCCCAAGTTTTTAAATATGTGGGACATACTTAAATTCCATAAGTGGGTTGACTCAGTATGTCTGCTGTAGCCTGTCAAGTGTGTGAACTATACGAGCCCACCGAGCTGGGGAAGGCAGCGCGGGAGCACACTGGGATGTACGATGGACGGGCAGGGTGTGTTCACCACAGGCTACTTTCTTGACCTGTCTAGTCATAAACACCAATGAGTGTAATTGTCTTTTTTTCTGTGCACCCTTCCTAACTCTTGATTCTTTTTGTTTCTAGGTTGTGCTGTGTTTTGATCGTGTCTTCTGGGACCCAAGTGTCAATTTGTTTGGTCATGTCGGCAGCACTACTGCAAGCAGAGGAGAGCTTTTCCTGTTCTGGAACCTGTACAAAGGTAGCTGTGGTACATGTCTGCATTTGCCAGGGTCTTCTTTGTGTAGTTTCAGATCTAGAAAAGAGCACATTTTAAGATGCCCTTAGTGTTCACATATAGATATGATAAGAATATGGTATTTACAGGAAGACAAATGGAAGTGGGGAGTACCGATACAATTCCTGTGGTAAATCAGGGCAGAACACGGGTGAGCATGGGCTTGTTAGTAGTGCTGCCTTCCAGACTGTGTCCGTTTAATTGCATTGCTACCTATCTACTGTAACACTTGTCTTTCTGAAAGCTACTTTATTGTCTTGCACCTTGGTGAAGTTGTCCTTATTTGGCATTATCTTGGTGGGTCCTATTAAGTTAAGAGAAACTTAATATCTTTGATTTATATTGTGCTGAATTAAAAAAAAAAAAAAAGAACAAAAAAAACCCCAAACCCCTAATCTAACAATTCTTTTTTAGTGTTTCAGAAATACAGGAAAAATGTATGTTTGCCAAAGAGCAGTGCTGTTTTAACGAAGTATCTGCTTTGTCAGGAGGAGAATATTAAGTTCTCCCACAAAAAGACCATTTGTCTCTGTGCATTTCTGGATTAAAACATGTTTCTTCATTCATAAGTCTCTTTGAAACTGAATTTCTCTCTGTTTGAGCCCTTCCCCTCTTTCACTAAGCTCCCCCTGCAAATGTAACTGGCATCCAATTTAGCCTTAATTTGGAAAACCTCAGCTTCTTGGATGTTTCTTAAGTGGAGCTGACATTTTGAAGCCAGGCTCTGTGTAATCTGGGATGATTCGGTAACTCTGGGTGAACCCTTTTCACCTGTCACCTCAAGTCCTTTCTGGTACAGGTGACTTGGCTGCCCAGGATTTCAAACTGAAGTGTTTAGGAACTAGCTGAGATAAATCACATTTTTTTCAGATGCAAGAGGTGCTACTGGCTTGTGTCTTCTCTGAAATGCTGTTCAGTTCCAGAACTCAATGCTTGTAGGTTATCCCGCTTTGATTTTTCTCAGCCGGGGGGGTGCAGTGCAGCCTCTGCAGAGTGTTGAACACTGAGATTTCAGTGGAGCAGACTGGAGGCGTTGGGAGCGCTCCGCCCCTCTTGCATCCCCATTGCAGCTGGGTGAGCTGCAGGCCCAGCCCTGGGGTTAAGGTGCAGCGTGCCCTGGAGGAAAGGCGAGCTGCTATGTCTCTGATTTGCTGAGTGGAGGGCTTCATTTCCCATTTTGAGCAGCAAAGAGGCAATGACTGTAGACCGTGGTCTCAGGCAGCTGATTTTAGAACTCCTCTTTAGAAAAGAGGCTTTTTTTTTCTCTCTGCTACGAGCTTGTCAGAAGATACTTCCAGTAACCTACTGATTTTGGTCATTGCCAACGGGATCCTGGGGGGCATTAAGAAAAGTGTGTCCAGCAGGGCTGGGGAGGTTCTCCTGCCCCTCTGCTCTGCCCTGGCGAGACCACCCCTGGAACCCTGGGTCCAGTTCTGGGCTCCCCAGTTCCAGAGAGACAGGGACCTACTGGGGAGAGTCCAAGGGAGAGCTACGAGGGGGATCAAGGGACTGAACATCTCTGCTGGGAAGAGAGACGGAGAGACCTGGGGCTGTTCAGCTTGGAAAGGAGACGGCTGAGAGGGGATTTATGAACGTAGAGAAATATCTGAGGGGTGGGGGTCAAGGGGATGGGGACAATCTCTGCTCAGTGGTGCCCAGTGATAGGACAAGGAATGATGGGTGTAAGTTAGAACGTGGGAAGTTCCAGCTCAGCGTGAGGAGAAACTTGTTGGCTGTGCGGGTGCCGGAGCCCTGGCCCAGGCTGCCCAGAGAGGGTGTGGAGTCTCCTGCTCTGGAGACTTTCCAACCCGCCTGGACGCGTTCCTGTGGGGCTGCCCTGGGTGACCCTGCTCTGGCAGGGGGTGGCACTGGGGGATCTCTGGAGCTCCGTTCCAGCCCCAACATTCTGTGATTCAGTGATTGCCATTTACCAGGCTAAAAGCAAAGGTGTATGTACAACAAATAGTATTAAATGAGTTACTTTTCTTGCAGATGACCTTTTAAAGTACCACTGGGTTTTCTTCCACTTTTATCATGGGCAGGCCAGGTTTTTCTTGTAAATGGAGAATATTTCTGCACAAAGAAAGCACCTTTCAAGGGTATTTAATTGTTAAGATGTTTGGTAAGACTTGACTGGATAGATAGAAGTAATGAGCCTTGAATATCTGTTTTTGTGGCTTTAAGATGTCTCTATTTCATACTTAAGAAATAGTGTTGGGTATTTGATTTGGATGGAAAGACCATCTCAGATACAAAGTTTTGCTGCTAGATGCAAAACCTTCCCTCTCAGGAAAATAAGCAGAGCACAGAGATGTTTAAGAAAATCATGTGCTGTTTTACAAGTCAGATGGCTGAAATGAAAAAAAAAAAAAATCAAAAAAAATCCATTACCATTTCTCATGGTGGCAGTTAACGTGATTGCACTGTGAAATATTAAAGTAGACCTGACTGAACTTGTGAAACTGTTACTTATTGCTGTCATAGTCTGCATTTTGTACTCTGTATGTCGTATTCTGTAAAGGCCATAGCATTTTGGGCAGACACTATAGATTGGAGAGCAGTTTTAGTACAGAAATTAAAACTTGGAAGTATTGCAGCACGTGCTGTATTAGCTCCGTGGAAGTTCTTTAAAGTGCTGGCAGAGACCAGCTGGTCTCTAAGAAGTGTCTCAAGGTAAGCGGCGATGGGAGTGGTGAGGCTGCGCGTGTTTGCGCTGCTGCTGGGCGCCCCGTGGTAGGAATCCTCCCTGTGGCTGAAGTCTAGTTCAGGTAACGACTGCTGAGCAGAACCTGCAGCCTCCGGAAAGCTGCGTGTGTCCCAGAGAGCCGGCCCGTGCTGCTGCGGCCACTTGCTCCATCCTCCATCTGCTGCGCTGGATTATTGTTGGAGCCGTGTGGGCACTCGTTAAGCTGTGCCCAGCAAGGGGCAGGGCAGCTCTGGCCAGAAACTTTTCTGGAAGTTCAGTGACATTTCCATCTCTGTGTTCTTGCCTGGCTCTTCTGTTTTTCTTAGAGGCAAGTGATGCAAAAGGTGAGGCCCCTCCGGCCAAGCGACGTTCTCTGCTCATTGGTATCAAGGCTCAGTAAAGATCGCTGCCTCGAGGAGAGAACTTTTTGTGGAGCAGTGACAGGCTCATAGAAGAAGCTTTTCTGAGCAGCACTTTGGTATTTGTGGGGCAAAATAGCCCTTGTCTGCTGCAGCCTTCGGGCTGTGTTACAGCTCTGCATGAATCCACGTGACTGAAGAGCAACGTTTGCAGGTCTGGATAAATACTTAGAGAACAAGGTTTCATGACTGGAAAGGCAGAATCTCCATAAAAATAGTTTGGGGTTGTCTGAGCACAGGTTTTCATGAACAAATTCACTGGAACCTGTGTGTTGAATATAAAGTTGTTCACCAAGAAAAAACTGCTGAGAAGTTCGGGAATCTCATTGTGTCAAGGATGGCGAACTAGGAAGAATGCTGCTGCTGAAATGGGCAAAAAAATAAATTCCCAGTGCCTTTGGATGATAGGAAACCATTTTTTTGTTCATTCCTTCAAGTAGTGGAACAATCCTGTGTCTCTTTTCTTAAATAAACTGCTTCTAGTCCCATATTAAAGTGTCTTAATTGTACCTTGAGTAGTGTAAGTATAGTAATAACAGTCTAACTTACTCCGAATTTAAAAGACTTTTGGTTTTAACTAGAATTTATTATTGGGTCTTTCAGCCTAAGTATCACAACTGAACTTCAGCTAGTTTTCTTTAAATAGCAGTAACTTGATGGGATTGTCTGTCTCTACCAGCATAATAGGAATTCACGAATCATTTTGGAAACCTGTAACCAAAACAAAGTGAAAGCCAAAATTTTAATAAGTACTTCGTTTCTTATTTCAACGTGCTTGACATATATTTCTAGCTGTAGTATTCGTTTTGCTAAATTTCAGAGTTTGTATCTCCAGGAGGAGAAGGATCAACTGGGAGAGTTTTCATTAAGTAACCATGCTTGGGTCTGAGTCCCTTCTTGTAAACGCATATTTCTTGCCATTGGGTTATTTTAGTAGCTCTTCAATACTTACTGAAGATTTTCCTTGAATTTGAAACTGTCAAAACTGTGTGCTTAGTTTGACCGTAGCTGGTCAGAGGTAAAATGACCTCGTCTGTTCGCTTATATATCCTGTGATCACATTCACACTCTTCACCAGAGCACCACGTGGGCAGCTGGGTTATTTGATATCTGTCCATTTGACTTCTGAATGATTCGCAGAGTTGCTGCTTCTCTGCGTATTGTCCTGCTGTTCATAGTTTCCGGTCCACTGAGATGATTTAATGTCAATGTGCGTTGGTATTGAAGATCTGGGTACTTTGTGTACTTACCCAGGTAGCCTAACTGCAAAGCTGAATTTGATGGTACCCAAGCCAGACTGTTCAGAACGCGCTGAGTTCCCTTAATGTCGCACCGGTGACTGTTAAATCCCAGTAGAACCTCCCATGTTGAAGACATGAGGTCTTCGCTAAAGAAAGTCTTTTCTTCTGCGCGTTGCACTTCCTAAAGTGTGTGTTTAATTCACAGTACATCGGTTCTCTGATAATTCTGAATAGTACCGTAGCATTTATTAATTCATTTTCCTTTTGGAAAATGATGGTGGAAGGTTTAGGACTATTTTTGATGGGTTCAGTTTTCAACTGCGTGACTTAGCTGCAGATCCCTGCCTGTTCAGGCCCAGCTTACTTGATTAAACTGTCTCAGTTGAATAATTCAGTTGTGTTTTCTCTCTCCTTCCCCACTCCCAGCACCAATTTTGTTGGCCTTGGTAGCAGGAGAAGCAGCAGGGATCATGGAGAACATCAGTGACGATGTCATTGTTGGACGGTGCCTTGCGATCCTCAAAGGCATATTTGGCAGCAGCGCTGTGCCCCAGGTCAGTGCAGAGTGTCTCTGGGTGACTTCTCCGCAGCTCAAAACGTGCCACAATCTCGGTAGCCGGGCTGCGGTACGGAGCTGTTGGGTACATGCACCACCCCGGGTGTTCAGGGCTTTGGGGGAGGAGGGTTTTTGGTGGGTTTAGAGTTCTTAAGGTTCACACCGATCACTTTTCTCATGTTCTGTCTGCAAGGTTGTGCAAATGTCTCATTTTCTCTTGACTGCTGTTATGCCTTAGAGGGGTGCTGGTCTGAGTCCTGGTTATGCTGTCACCGTTGCATCTTTAAATGGAATGTTTTTCATCATGACCGTTACCTTGGCAAACCAGATGGACTGGAGAAATAGAGGTGCTTGTGCTAGTGCCCTTCGTGCAGCCGCTTTCCCAGATGAGTTACAGACCTTATATAGGCCTGTATTTCATAGTCAAATCAAAAGAGATATTCTGATGAGCTTTGGCTGAAATAAAAGTACCATAGACTGCGTTGAGTTGGAAGGGACCTCTAAAGCTCATTGAGCCCAGCCCCTGCAGCGAGCAGGGACACCTTTCACTGGGTCAGGTTGCTCAGAGCCCCGTCCAGCCTGGCCTGGGATGTCTCCAGGGATGGGGCCTCCAGCACCTCTCTGGGCAGCCTGGGCCAGTGTCTCACCAACCACATTGTACAGAACTTGTTCCTAACATTTAATCTCAGTCGCCCCTGCTCTGATTTATAACCATTGCCCCTCGACCTGTCGCTACCCTCCCTGTAAGCAGTCCCTGCCCAGCTCTCCTGCAGCCCCTTCAGGCACTGGGAGGCCACTGGAAGGGCTCCCCCTTCCGAGAC